TGTTCAGCACTTCGTAGATGCCAAGCTGGAGTTTGATGCTCCTTATGTATATGAGGATGTAAACCAAGCGATTCAGCATGTCCACAGAAGTGGTTTAGTTCACAGAAAAGTTCTTTCAGAGCCTCAGAAATTTCTGTTAAAAAATGTAAGCGGTACTGCATCTGATTATGGCGTTTGAATACTGCTCCCCCCCACCCCCCTCTTTGTAGCTAAAATCTTGTTCACTAACACTTTAACCTGATACTGTTTCTCGTCTTATGACATTCTTTTATGTGGTCATGTTTTTTTTTAGTCAATGCAACTTTAAAACCATTGCCTCATTTCGTCTTGTGACTTGCAGAGCCAGGTGTTTCGTTTCTTAAAGACCCTACGAGAGAAGGGGAAAAAGCTGTTTCTTCTTACCAACTCACCTTTCTACTTTGTTGATGGAGGGATGAGTTATTTACTAGAGGTCCTTTCTATATTTAAATATGTTTTTTGTGCTTTCTCCATGCATAGTTTACCATTAAAATGAAAGATAATTCTAGTTGAAGTTGACAATTTGATATCCAATATTTCTGTTCAGTAGAAGAGAGTTTTATGCTGCCTTGACCCATTGAAGCATAGTTGTGATTGTGAAACTGTCAAGCCAATTTTCTGCATGCAAATTCTTCATTTGTTTCCATATTTCTTTAATAGCTTGTTTTACTACTACATCGTAGTTGTAGTGTATTTTGTTCTGCCATTCTCGTAATTTTCCTCATGAGACGGTTGTTCCAAATATGAAGGGTATCATATGTGATCTGTTTCTCTGGCCATTCTTCTCCATTCGCATATTGTCAACTTTACCTGTCCATTGGTTGGTTGAGCAGGACCAGCATTTTGATGGGAATTCCTGGAGGGAGCTTTTTGACGTTGTGATTGCGCAGGCAAATAAACCAAGTTTCTATAATTCAGACCACCCATTCAGGTTATGTGGAACATTTCTACACTACTGAAGAAAAATATTCATTTTATCCTTAGCAAAGAACTTCTCCCTCCATTTCTAAATATAAGTCTTTTTAGAGATTTCAACGTGATCTACATACGGATGTATATAGACATATTTTAGAGTGTAGATTCACTCATTTTACTCTGTATGTAGTCCATAGTAGAATCTCATAGTAGAATCTCTAAAAAAGACTTATATTTAGGAACAGAGTGAGTAGGTCTTAGTAGGCTGCATATTGATGCAAGTTGTTACATGTTCTGCACAATCATTCCGCTCCCATTCTGGATTCCTAATTAAGTTTCCTGGCTATCTATAGGGTGTATGACACTGAAAAGGACACCTTAGCATTTACTGCAGTTGACAAGTTTCTGCCAAATGAAGTCTATTACCATGGATGTTTAAAATCCTTTCTGCAGATTACAAAGTGGAGAGGCCCAGAGGTTGGTGTTTCGAATCTGAAGAAGTATCAGTTTCCTCTATATATGTTCACCCAGCTTAAACTTCTGTCTAGAGTGACATTTTTTTCATGTTAAATCAACACAATATTTTTCATACATTTGCACATTTAAATGGTGATTTGCGTACTGCATAGTGGAAGCTGTCACATGATTTAGATTCATCTGTTACATTTTTAGTCTTTTTACTATGTTTCATGCTTAATCTAATTAGGTAATGCCATAACCTTATCATATTGTAAAGTTATTGCAGAGGCCACCATCGATAACCTGATCCCTTTCACACTAACACATGTTTACTCAATACTGACTTGTGGACGTTCTCCACATATGACACAAGTATATCATCTCAGGTCTTTTTTTGAACATGTGTTAGGTGATATACTTTGGTGATCATCTTTTCAGCGACTTGAGAGGGCCTTCCAAAGCTGGTTGGCGAACAGCTGCCGTAATTCGTGAACTTGAGGTAGGTGCAAGATTGCATATGCCAGTAGTCCGTGACGTATAAGCAGCACTATCTTTTTTTCCAGCAATCTAACATATTAAGATTTTACGGCTTGACTTCAGGATGAAATAGGAATCCAGAATGGTGACAGCTACCGGTTCCAACAGGTCTGTATATAATATGCCTGTACAATATGTAAAGTTTCTCTTTCAACAGCATTGCTACTGTCATGCGCATGTTAGTCTAGCCCATTAGGGGCCGTGCACCATGGAAAGCAGCCTCAGCTGCTCGAGCTAGCGGCAACAGCAACTTGTTCGTCAACTCTTCGTATTAGCTGGTATCTTATCTCACTAGTTCATATTTTAGGATTGTTATTAAATTAATAGACTGACCTGTCTATAATTAGGAGAGCCTCTAGCTATGAAAGGGCTATTGTAGTCGTTGGCATTAGGCATGAAGATCCCTACCTAGTCAGCGAGTCCATAGTGTCATCTTTCTCCTAAGATCTCTCCTCTTCAGCCTTTCCTACACCATCTGGCCCTTTCCAATGCGGTAATTGCCCCAAAGAACTAAGATACATCACAGCTGTATAGTAGATTGCTCTTTTACCATTCTCCAGGCATGCGGTACTTGTTCACCCATGACCTGTTGTAATCTTTGTCAAGCTCTGTACTGAACTGGTTTCATTTTTTTTCTCCTGCTTAATATATGGCGCAGCTGCCAACTCCTCAAGAAAAATGTATTTTGAAGGGCCAATAGTCAGTACAATTCCTGGCTGGATTAAATAAAGGAAAACTTTAAGCCATTTGGATAAAAAAAATCTGAAGTAATACAGACCCTAATTATCATCTCTTTACACATAGTATCTAGATAAGATGCTAAATATCATATCTCAATAATTTTGTTATCTGGTCTGCAAAATAGTAGGTATATGCAAGTGTCTATTTCACATAGATTAGCAGTTAGATCCTACTCCCTCCGTTCCTTTATATAAGGTGTATTTGTTTTTTGATAAAATTCCACAATGTAAGGTGCATTTGTTCTAATTCCTCGTAATTCCGATCTTGGCCCTCCAGAAAAAGGAAAGTATCTCTTCCCTGATTGCATGTATCTCTCCTTGTAGAGAAACAAAAGGAAACTATCTCTGTCCTGATTGCGCATATCTCTTCCTTTCCTAGTCTAAATGATTTATTGCCACTAATCTACGAATTAGACAAGGGTAATTTTGTCCTAAATAGTACATAATTACGTGCCTTGGTTAACGTGCTGAAAATAATACACCTTAGATATTGAAATGGAGGGAGTAGTATGGAACGGATCCTACATTCTAGTATGTGATGTCCTCTAATTCATCATCAATTCTTTGAACTTAGCACTGCTGTTATTATCATTTGCAGTTGCAAATAACAGTTGTTCCCTTCCAAATTTACACCAAATATTTTGAACCTGTCATCAGAACTAAGAAGACAACTAATGAATATCTATCAGTAAAACTAATAGGGTTGACTGTATCAACTTGTGGAATTATGTTTAGGAGGTTTTCATTATGGTAAATGTTTAGGAGGCTTTCTTAGGCAGTAGGTATTTGTGGAAGTTATAACAGCTGCCTGAAGTTTCATATGGCACTTGGGGAGTGTGGAGGTAAATCCTAAAGGTCTATCCTGCACTCCTACTGGTACATATCCTCTAAACATGGCACAGAGACAACCAGTTGCAGTGTCGCCCCACAAATTGGTCCATCAGAAAGATGGCAGTACTATTTTTATTCATTAGTATGCTAATTTATTCTAGTATTAATTATACAATTTCGTAGTCCATGTTATTCCATCCACTTCATATTGGTGCTTTATCAAATTGCCTGAAATTTATCCTACACTGCAGGCAAAATTAGGTATAATACATGATCTACTTGGGAAGGTTCATGCAACTGTGGTTAGCACCGAGAAAGGCCAAGTTTACAGAACATTGCTTGATGAGTTGAATGCAGAAAGGCGTCAATGTCGATCTGGCATGCGAGATCTGTTTAATAGTTCTTTTGGTGCAACATTCCTCACAGACACAGGAAAGGAATCATCATTTGCCTATCACATTCATCAATATGCAGATATCTACACCAGCAAGCTTGAGAACTTCTTGTCATATGCCCCTGAATCATGGCTTCATCCACCTCACGACATAAAGATCATGCCACATAATGCAAAGGTAGCTCAAATTCGCCTACTTATGTGGTGTTCACCTGTTCAGTTTATTTTGATATATGTTTAGAGAACTGGCTTGATTTTTAGGGCAGTTACATTTCATTTATTTTGATATACTGATGAATTGAGATGCTGCTGATCTTAGAATGATTTCTTGAACATTTCCTGTTCTAGGTGCCAGCGAGTTTGTTCAGCACCTCATAGTTCACTGTATCCATTTCTTGTGGAGAGCCATGGTAGTGCACTACACAGTGGTTTTTGTTTGTGGCCATGGGACTCCATACTGTCACTGCATTCGGCTAGGTTATGAAGAAACCAACACAGATTGGATCCAACTGAATAGGCCAGGGAGCAAATCAAGATGTGCCTATCTTGACTGATGTAAGAATCAGTCTCCAAGTGAGTAGGCGATTCTTTTGTACAATATCGCTGTACAATATTGTTTCAACTATGTGTGTCTTCTAAATACATCCAGGCAACGTAACAACCATCTGTAATGGTTGTCAATAAAAATGTTGGCATATTCATTTTATTAAATCTGCTGTTGTTTTTCAAGATATGTAAAATATTCACCTATACTGCCATCCAGTGATCTTTGCCAACAGCAAGTAACTGACACTATCTCAATGTTGAGCAATCTACTCTTGCAATCAATGCTGTGCTTACCAGATTATTTTGAACTGGTAAGAATGAACTGTCACGACAGACAAAAATAGAAAACATCTGGTGATGGCAATTTGTACTAAACCTACCTTTCATGATTTATATGCGTGTGCAGGTTATTGCCAGTTTCATGAGCCTACCCTATAAACAGCCCCCTGCCAAACCAAACATTTTTTTTCTGCAGTGAGCACTGAGGATTGAACGAACAAGATTCAGGACTTATTATGTTTGGAGTTCACAGAAGAAAATTTGGATTCCATGCAAGGGTTCTACTTGTCCTTGTCTACGACAGGCTGATCATCTTGGTTTCCATCATTTCTGATCCCAGATAACTGCTGCATTTCCAGTTCTTGCTGCTTCCATGACCTACAAGACCTGAAGGCACAAAGTGTATCAATTAGATCCTTTTTTTCATCCATTCCGAACTGCTACAGCTGGAGTCTTAAGACTCTTATCCGTTCCAAAAATGCGCATTGCAAACTCCTGAATACAGTGCAAATCAACATTGCTTACCGCTGCCTAAAACCCGATCTGTTTCCACCCATGGAGAGCACCGCTGCAGGTGCAGAGCTATATCCAGCATCATCCGAGGGTGACGAACTCATCTTTTTTCACGTTGCAGAAGAACAACGACAGAAATCTTCTCAGAGACTTTTTAGACGATGAAGCTCAGAGTGATGATTGAGCAGATGCTACTTGCGCGGTGAATGTTTCGAAGAGGATTAGAGAAATGTACTCACAAGTTGATGGGACATGGTTCGTTCTGATGTGCGAACTTCATTGCCGGGGCGGCCTCTTGTTCGTTCAATCCTCAGGGCACACATGCATTTCACAAGGAAATACAGGAGAACCCCGCCAAGGCACAGCATTGCCAGGATCTCGATTGCGATTGCCGATCCGGTCACTGAAAGTATTCATCACAGTATAAAAATACAAGGATAGGAATGGTGTGCCACACAAGCCACAGCACCAAACCAAGCACAAAGAGACTCACAGATGGCTCTTGTTGAGTTCATAGCTTTCCTTTTGCTCAGCTGGACAGTCTTCGCCGCCTGCAATGGCCTTGACATCATCTCTGAACAATCTGGGTAGCACCCGTAGTTCCCCAGGTCATCTACGGTGATGGATAAGCTTGTGCCATGGCTTGGACCACCCTGCAAGAGAAAATCTCATATTTTTCTAGCTTCAGTATCTCCATATATAGCTTTCAGGCAATCGGTTACTTAGATAACCAAGAGAATTAAATCATGGGATGAGGAATGAATCGCCAAAAGAGTCCGTGAAGACGGGGGTGTTTACTTGGTAAAACAGCCGGTGCATTGCGCTGTTGCAGTCAGCGACATCCAAGCGGAGCCTGATGCCAGTTCCTCTCAAGACCAAGTGATGTGCAATGGCCACATAGGTCTGAAGCGACTGCCACTGGTTACTGCCACCAGTCTTCAGCTCCGCCCTGCCGACGAGACTGGCTGGCAATGTCATCATCAAGGTTCCTTCAAAGACTTCCAAGGAGAGCACTAGCAGAAGGTGAGACTTGTTCCCTGCAACATGAGATTATTTCTTAGTTACTTTTAATGTCTCCTAAGAACAATGCAAATCTGTCAGGCTAGGAAACATCATCTTACATCTCAAAATAATTAAGCAGGATAAAAACCATTTTCAAATCCATGGTTTCATACCAAAAGAGTAAGACAAAGCACCTGGGTACCAACGAAGATCTGGTTCGACGATTGAGAACTCAAATGGGTCTCTCTGCTTGTCAAAGATTTGATATCCATCTCTTGATTCTTTTCCACCCAAGAAAATTGATTTCGGAGCCAGTATAACCGGAGGATCATTGACCGGCTCCACGGAGACGTGTAACTCATCACGATGCCTACCATTCCTGTTCCTCGCATATAGCATTATAACATCATCTCCGTAGAAGTCTTGGTTTCTGCAAATGATGTCAGGATTTGAGATTCTTGTAACGCCGGCCTGCTACAATACTAGCAAGATTCAGATTCTTGGCTAGTACCCGATATACTGAAGATATTTTAGCGCTCCATTTATTTCCTCCACCACCCCTTGTATTTTCAAGGCTTGGCTAGACCTGCCTACCCTGCTGATTGAAAGCGTATCATCTAATAGATGTTGTTTCATTGGCACTGGAGCAAGAAGAACATTGCCGTGCTGCGCTCTCACTGTAACCGATATGTTCTCTGATGTGTCTGAATATGTCATTTCAATCCCCGGAAACCCGCTGCCGAAACATGGAAACGCATGATCAGTTCAGAAAGCTAAGAAAAAGTACAAAAAATAGAGAGCATCTAGTTGAAGCAATGAAGCTTACCCAAACTTTGGGCCAATTATATCTTCTGTAACATGCAGTTGTTTGGGCAAAGAGATGAACTGAGGTGGTCTGCACAGAACAGATATGAACACTGTGCCACTGACAACGTTGCCATGCTTATCAGATACTGTGTATGAAAAGGAGTCATTCCCAAAAAACCGTTCAAAAGGTGTGTAGCGATAGCCCGGGTTGTACTGTAGGACTGCTCCATGGAGTGGCTTCAGTAAGACGGAGCAAATTTACTATGCGATTAGAGTTATCAAACAAGAAAGTAATGGCACTATGAAACAACTGAAAATGTCACTCTTGTTGTAGTAAGATTGAACAATGACATTTCAAATCTAAGGAGTGTCACTGTACTTGTGTTTGTAACAAGTTTTCTTGTTTAAATTCCAAGTAGATCTGTTTAGGTTTTTTGTACGAAGGCACAAGTAATTAAATTACAAAAAGTGGTTTAATAAACTTACTGAAGATAAATTAACTACGTCAGCTAGTCCTACTGCAATGTAGTCATTTGACAAGATATCAAAGGAAACAGATTCATCCTCCCAAACTGAAATGTGATCTTCCCGAACTTCAGAGAAGTATTCGTCTGCAGGGAGGCATTTTCAGTTAGTCGACGCTCTTCAACATTTTTATGTTTTTATTAATGAATATATCATCCGCGCAATGGAAACTTTACCGGGAAGAACAAGGACCTGGAATGGACAAGGAGCCAGCTGCCTGCTGTCAAACAGAATGCACATGCCATATAAACCAAGATACCTAGCCACATAATGAGCAGTATATGATCCATCTCTGTTGTTGACAAATTCCCCCGCGGTGAAACTTGACGCGTTCATCGGGGCCGTTACATTTGCAGATGTTAGCTGAAGCCTCAGTTTGGGCTCCAGAGATACCACTGGGTTCATGAATGAGTCGACAAGTCGAACGGTTACATTGTTTCTGACTGATCTTTTGGCTTTTGGATCAAACATTGGAGCGGTTGATAAAGATGTGTCAACTGCACCTGCAAAAAGGAAATGTTGTTGAAAGTCAGAGGTCAATCAGCATTAGAAAGACAGAAACAACCCTCGAGTTCGTCCAATGTGAGTTGCTTCAGGTAATACTGCTGAAATTGTAAAGATACTTTCTGACTGAAATAACGTAGGTGAAGCTACTACGTTGTGTTTTTTCATAAAGGAAACGTTGTTCTGATGCAAAATTATTTGCATAGCCAGGGGCGAAAAAGGAAACAGACTTGCACGAAACGAAAAGTTGTAAAGAACAGTTACTGCATTATCATCGTATATGGGGTGAATGTAGAAGTGAGCTACTAGGATGATACATAGGATGGATGTGTGCATCTCCAAATCCAGAGCCTGGTGTTATTCTTCCATTATCTTAAAAAAATGATGACACATATATAGGAGAAATATACAACCTGGTGAGACTGTCATGTTATAGGGTTTTCCATCATTCAGCGCTACGTTCCCGCACAAGACCCAAATTTCATACTCGCCGGCAATTTCAGGAGTATACGAGACATTGAAATTACTTGTTTGTCCATCCGTGGATATCGTCTCTGTAGATGGATTCAGCGTTAATGTATAATAATAATTTTGAACTGGAATTAGGAAAGATGGTTTTATACTAGCATTTACCATTTGGTTCTCTTACAGGTGTTATGACTGGGTTTACACCAGACGTGCCATTTCTGCTCAGAATCTGCACTCGCAGCATTTTGGTATCAATCGGAGAAGGGCTTCCATACTGATCCACCAGGTAAACCATGAATGATGATGGTGAGCCAGCAACAGATTGCACCAAACCAGAACCATTAACAATGCTTTTCGATCCGTCGCAATACCCTAACGATTTCCACTTATATATCAGCATTAGTTATATGAAAGCTATACAAGATAGTCTTCTCAGAAGAAAAAAAGAAGAAGCAAACATAGTACCTACAAAGACATGATACACGTACACCGTATCGGAAAGCCTCTGCTTGAGGTGAGTTTCAAAGATTGTGAGCACAAACTCCCCGGGCTCCACGACGTCGAAGGAGAGCCGCTGGATTCCCTCGGCGACAGCTTCGATCCGGAGCCCCCCTACCGGGACCGACAGCCTTGAGGCGCTCTCCACCACCGCAGCATCGAATGAGTGGATCCCCGGGACGAGGTTTCCGAACGAATCCCTCTGGTTTATGAAGATCTCCAGCTTGGAGAATATCTGCACGGCGTTCGTTCCATGCTTCCACTCGGCCGTGCTTTTCGCAATGTCGATGAGTCCTGCAAGAAGTTGCATCTGATTTTGAAGTGCCTGCAGGCGTTGTGAGCGGCAATGGCGAGCCAGGTTAGGAGGACTGACCTGGCTTCACTGTGAGCGGCAATGGCGAGCCGCGCAGTTTGGTGTTGTCGGCATGAACGTGCACCAGGAAGTCCCCGGCGAGAGTCGGCACGAACTCGATGCTCATGCACGCGTCCTCCGTCCAGCCGTTGTACTCGAGGCCCGAGAACTGGACGGGCGTCCCGTTGACGTAGGACCAGGACACGGCGAAGTACCAGTTGCCGAAGGGCATGTCGGCTCCCCGCGGGAGGCCGTTGCCGAGCGCGTCCCTGGGGAAGACGGACACGAACGCCCTGGACCCGGCGGCGACGCGGCGGCCGCCGAGGTGCGTCCAGGAGGCCAGGGAGGCGGACGGGCTCACGTCCCGGGCGGCGACGGCGAAGTTGAGCGTGTCCACGCCGAGGAAGAACCGCTCCTCCTCGAAGAGCGCGACGAAGTCCCCGGCCCGCAAGGGCACGAGGGTGATGTTCCAGGACGGCAGGTCGCCCTCGAGGTGCACGGCGACGTCGGTGAGGTAGCTGGTGTTGCCGGCCTTGTCGCCGTGGCCGTGCAGGGTGACCTTGAAGGCCGCCTTGCGCCGCACCTCGGAGACGTTGGCGTCGGGGATGTAGAAAGAGGTGATCATGACGGTCGCGGTGTCGCCGGCCCGGAACGACCCGTTGTCGTCCACCCATCGGAACATGAACGCCGGCCGCGGCGTGATGGGGTATTGCGGCCATTGCTCCTGCGCGGCCGTGGGGCGCAGCGGCGCCAGGCACAGGAGGAGGGAGATGGCTAGGATCGGGCGCGGCGAGAGCGCGGCCCGGTTCGCCATGGATTTGCTTCCGCTTTGGACGTGGAGGGATGCGTTTCGTTCGGTTGCTGGAGATGGTCGTGACTCGTGGAGGGAGGGAAAGAAGAATGCGGCGGGGAGTGCAACTGCAAGTGCAAGGCGGCAACCGCCGGCTGGTGTTGCGTGCGAAGGGGCGGGCAGTACCACCGTAACCGTAAGAGTCCCTGCATTCCAACTGGCCTTGGTGTGTCTGTGTACAAAGAAACATACTCCAACTGGCCTTGGCGTTAGTGCGGCATACCCGGCTGTACAGGAGGAGGGCATGAAGAGGTTGATCCTTGGCCCCGATTCTCCACGGCGCCGCCGGCCGATGAAATCAAATCCAGCTACGCACGCACTCACTCACCAGACAGATCCACGAGCGGCCGTTGGCTCTCCCTGCCGGCGAGCACAGGCAACGGCGAGGGCATGGACATGTATGCCCACCTACTACCGACGAGGAAGGAAGAAGCTGTCGCCGGAGCTGCGACGGGGACGCCATGACCACCAAGTCGCACGCGGAAGGACCACTACTTTCATTACATATGGAGAGATACTGTTGCGGTGTGTGGTGGAAAGAAGGATTGTGTTCTCACGAACACTAGTAACTGCTTCTATACCCTAGATTAGCACGCGAAAAAGGGCTACTACTTGCAGGACGCGAGGGAAAAGGGCTTCCAATCGATTCAAGCTATTATAACTGCTTGTAATTAATGCTGCCTTATTTTAAGGTATACTCTTCTTTATAGGAATATGTATGGCAAACCAATACTCCCTCCATCTAGAATTACTCTTAGAAATGGAGGGAGCAACCCTTACGAACCTTTTAACTTTTCTTTTCTTTGATTCTCAGCTTTTAGTGTTTCTTTGATGGCATTCTCAGCTTCTAGTGGATCCACATCCACTCACTCAAAATGGATTTTTCTTGACTTGTCATTCCGGTGTCAATTTGTTTCTTTGCAATTCATTGATGTAGTCACTACTCCCTCCGTCCGAAAAAACTATCTAGCACTAGCTTGTCATTTGATGGACAAGCCTTTTCAAACGGAGGGAGTACTAATATCTTCTCTGATGATGGTTCATGACAAGGGCGTCCTCTTTTCTCTTATTTCATCATTCCGGTGTCAAATTTCTTCACAAGAATAACATGTCCTGGTTTATTCATCCATGCATTTCCAAATCAACATAGAATCAAGCTCTTGGGAATTCATATATTTTATACCATATGTTTGTTCCTTCCACGACATGAAACAAAAGAAAATGGATGGTTCCACAACATAGCTCAATCTATATATCTTCTCTGCTGGAAAAGAAATAAGGAACCTAATTAACTATGCCGATGAATTCATCCATCCATGCTTGTACTCGCCGCCGACGTCCTTATCTTCAGCAACCAATTTAACGGAGATGATTGCCCTGAGTGTTGGCTGCTACTAACAGGAGGCTATGAGAACAAGAACATGTTTTGCGCAACCGTCACAGAAACCAAGTCTTGCAGCATCGCATCGACCCCCTTGTGCATGTCAATCCTCGCTTCCACGGTTGCCCGGGATTCGTTATGTCCACTGGAGCAAAAACACAACTTCCCGTCAGCACAATTAGCCAAGAGAGTAATCAAGTTAAGCCAGCAACCTCATCAGAACAGATATTAACATGTTCAGAAAATTGAACAGACTGCTGAGGAGCGGATGGTTCCCGAATAACTATGGCAGTAACCCAGGCAGAACTTTCGACCTGTGAATCCTCTACACCTGACGATGGTGCAAAAGACAAGATATAAGTTCCAACATCTAAATTCTCCCATTCATTTCCATCAAAAGGAGCCCTATATTGCTCACCAATCCTTGGGCCAAGCCCACTGAGTACATAAGCATCCTGAAACAAACAAACGACAAATATATTTGAATAAACTGGCAGAGAATTTGAAAGAAATACTAGGATCACAACTTTCTAACTAAATATAAAGGCAACTTATCACATACAATTTCAGCCACAAGCAAAAGAGCATGCTTCAAAACAGATTCCAGTATGGTAGAATCTTTCATATACTGTAGTGAACAAACTTCAAAAAAGTGAAGCAAACAAAAACATCAGATAAGAGTTAGCAGTACCTTTGAGAAACCAGTAGACACCAAGGTTTCATCTTCCATTTTGTATTCATACATTACCCAATCAGTCCTATTGCCTTTGGGTGCCTTGCCTTCATGAAAAATCAATGTTTTCTTCAACCCAACAATGCGAGAGTTCAGGTCAATAGTTCCGTCTTTTCCACTTGTTTTCCAATAACCATTCGGTGTGGTACGGTTCGTCCAAGACCCTTTAGGATTTTTTTTTGTCATGGGGGCAAAAGAAGAACCACTCAAGATCTTTGCTCTGGAGACATGATTTATGATTTATCTGCACAGAAACATAGAAGGTCGCGACAAAGGCAGGAACCAAATTCAACCAAAGAGAGAGCATTACAAGAATTCTAGATTAATTTGCAACTCATTTGGGTGCAATCATTAAATAAAAAAAATAAAACAATAGATGAAATTACCAGGAGGTCCCAAGGAGCAAATTTGTACAGCTCAACCTCTGAGATAGCTTCGACAAAAAGTTTCTTCCCCATAATCTTCCTTTTCAAGTAGTAAGAAACAAACTCAACATCAGTTGGATGGAAACGAAAGCCAGGCGGCAGGCAGGTTTGAGACATCACCGGAGTGGGTTTCTTTTGCTCAGTATCAACAGAAGAACACAAGAGGTGAAACACAACCAGAATTGCTTCACCAGATAATGCAACTAACAATACCAGTAAATCAGGGAAATATTAAGTTTGCCAGAAAGTTGAATGCTTCTGTCCTCAAAAGACAGAATCAAGGCTACAGATCAACCAAACTTAAGGAGAGAGGAGCTCAAAAGAGAACAAGCAAGAACCAGAGAAGAGAGCATCAGAAGATTGCAGTGTGAGCAGAGTAGGACAGCTCATGTTATAACAACTGTTCTGAAGGGAGGATCGAAAAATTGATCCAACCGAAAGCTGGAGGAGACACAACTGATGGGAAACCAAGCTTGGCAAGACTCAAGGAAAGCAGTACACCAAGGACTCGAGCGACAAATATTTCTGAACTCAAATGAGAGAGTCTTGCCAATTAAACCAACTACCACTGATCCACATGATAGGAAGTATTCACACAAAACTCGGAATTTTATGCAATATATGAACCAGAAGTAGCATGAGAGGAAATAAGGGGATGATGCCTCGCTGACTTCAAAAGACATGAGTTATTCAGATCAAAAACCTGCATGAGATTAGAAATCATGACAGAAAGGAAAAACATATGCAATAAATGAAAATACAGAATACATATGTTCCATGTTTTATCCAGATCAATGAGGTATCTTCCCATCCAACTAACTAAAGTCCAGGAAGCAAAGAAAAGATTGCCTATAAAGAAAGTGGATTTTACAGTGTACACAACTCGCAATGAAATACTAGCACATTAACAAGGTGTATCTAACCTACACCATGGCTTTGAGGAGGAATAGAATCACTTGAATTTATGATACTTCATAGGCACAGATGATATTAGTAACAAAACAAAAGTAATCTTTCCCACAAACGAAAAAACCACGGTAAGTTTCCTAGAAGAAACGGCAAGGGTGGTCGGTGGCTTTTCTTAACAAGGTAGATAAGATCCCAACCATGTACAGTGTACAATCAATCGATCAGGCGAAAGAACATGGTTATTCATCCAGTATGTGCATGTACATATCTCCGGCTAATTTATTTAGTGTTTTTTCTGCTATCTATGGTAATTGGTAGAACCAGTTATTATTTCTCTTTTGAAGTATATACTGGACGTTGTTAGTGGCAGCATACATCAATCATCCTTTTCGTGTTGAGATTTAGTTGGGGGATGATTAATTAATCTAGCCTAGCTGAGTACTCCCTCCGTCCCATAATATAGATTGTTTTGCAAGCTAAATCAGCTTGCAAAACGATCTTATATTATGGGACAAAGGGAGTATAAGATTGCACAAAATAAATAAGTACATATTAAAGTATATATAGGAGAACCTACATGTACTATTAATACAACGGGTGGAACATACACTCTAAAGTTCGGGTCAAAGGCTTGCACCTAGATGGCAGGATTATACATTTGACCCTCCACCAATTTAGTTAGACTCAGCTCCTTAGAATCGAAGCCACACACACATAGATGATGTCCAAGTGTAAATATGAAGCTTGAGACAACCATACATTATTAATACTGCAGTAGTCCACGTCTTAATCATTTGCCATGTCCAGATCCATACCCATATCCATGACCTTCACCGTAGCCCGAACCAGCCCCATTTCCATAACCACTACCAGAGCCTTCACCATAGCCTGAGCCTGAACCAGAGCCTTGGCCATGACCTTCGCCATATCCAGATCCTTGCCCGACACCACTTCCTTGACCATAACCTTCGCCATGGCCCTCACCGTATCCGGATCCTTGCCCGGCACCACTACCTTGACCATAACCTTCGCCATGACCCTCGCCATATCCAGATCCTTGCCCGGCACCACTTCCTTGACCATAACCTTCACCATGGCCCTCACCATATCCTGATCCCGCACCACGTCCTTGACCATAACCTTCACCATGTCCCTCACCATAACCCGAACCAGAGCCTGAACCTTGTCCATGGCCCGAGCCGGAACCCTGTCCATATCCAGATCCTTGGCCCTCGCCTTCGCCTTTTCCCTGCCCCTGACCATAACCGGACCCCGAACCAGCACCTGAGCCAGAGCCTCCACCCGAGCCTGAACCGGCACCAGAGCCAGAAGCTCCACCATAGGCTCCACCCGAGCCTGAACCGGCACCAGAGCCAGAAGCTCCACCATAGGCTCCACCCGAGCCTGAACCAGCACCAGAGCCAGAGGCTCCACCTGAGCCTGAGCCTGCACCTGAACCAGCACCAGAGCCTGAGCCTGCACCTGAACCAGCGCCAGAGCCTGAACCAGCACCAGAGCCAGAGGCTCCACCTGAACCTGAGCCAGCACCAGACCCAGCATAAGACCCCCCACCAGAAACTGCACCCGAACCCGCTGATGATGCAGCGCCCGAACCAGATCCCGAGCCAGACCCCGAACCAGAGGCTGATCCCGACCCTGATCCAGACGCAGAACCAGACCCTGATGCAGAGCCGGCACCACCAATGGCACCACCAATAGCACCACCTATGCCAATGTTACCCCCTATATTAACACCTGTACCGGTCTTGAAGCCTACACCACCAAGGTCTAGGCCTAAGTCCTTCCGGGCAATGCGACCCTCGGATGCCAAAACAAGTGCGGCAAGCACAACAATGCCAACCGAAATGGTCGTCATTTGTCGCATTGTCGCGGAACCTCTAAGAACTAGGTCTTGCTTCTATGCGATTCAAATATGTTCTGCTACTGGCTTGCTTTCTTGCCTACAAGGATGTGCTTCTCCTTGTCCTTGGTATGCAAACACTGGGAGCAATGCCGTGCTATTTATAGGGTCCAGAAGTGGGCTTTCGCAAACGTCTTCTTCCTTGGTGGGAAGAACTTGTGGCTGTGGCTTACTGCGCGGCCGAATTCGCTCGGGTAGTGGCGCGCAGTGTGTGGCCGGCGGTGCAAAGGGAATGGAGATGTGAGGCCTCGTAGCGCGTCGGGGTGACACGTTTCAAGTGCGCCGCTGCATGCATTGTGTGAGAGGGAATATGGTTGCTGCACTGCGTACGTGAAGTTGACGTGACCTGCGGAGATTTGGTATAATGGAGCAGCTTTTTTGTTGATCAATGGGGGATTCCAGAAGCTAGCTAGCTCTGCCGTTTTATCTTTTAGCTGGATGCATGATGGTTGTGGCTACTGGCTAGTGGTGGATGCGAGAGCCTTATCACCCAGCTTGCTAGTGCTAGCGCTAGTCCTTTTCATCTTTGGATGTCCATGTCCATACTGTCGACCTTGTGGTTGACTTAAATTAATCTCAAATTTTGCTCCTTGGATTATTACACTTATTATCATATTGCCGGAGTAGTGAGAGGTTTACAGTGGGCTGAGCACGAATCATCTGCTGGCGATAATGACTTATGGTTCGGCTTCACAATGAGATATGTCACACTCATTGGCTGGCACGGAAGGAGGCTCTAATTTTTCGATTTAAAATTACGTGCTAGTCATATATAATTCGTTGAATAAAACTAGTCCTTTCAAAAAAAAAAACTATGGGTAGGTTGGCTGTCTTGATCTTAATTTATAGATAATCTCCATCAACTCTCTCTACACGGGTCACCGAAGAAAAAAACTCTCTGCATGTGAGCTTAATTGTGAGATAAATATATACCGTTGACTAAGTGAACATAAAATAAAATAGTAACACTAAGTGTTTCGGACGCGGTCTTGTCATTATCTTCTACTATCTTTGTACACTAATATAAGTTGTTTTTGCAGTTTAATTTAAACTGTACAAAGTCCTACATTAGTGTATATAGAGAGTATATCTAAATAGCTAGTCCACACTAATATATTTCTCTCAACATACAAGTATACCACCTCATCATACACCATATACGGAAAAAGATCCACCTCAACATGTAAACATGCATGAGAGTTTTCATTCTATTATGTCATTTATATTTAACAAGTATTTATAACTATACATTGATCAAAAACAATAATTCACATGTATTTTCAGTTCTAGTTCTCATATTACCTCAAATATCTATGTTTCACACAATCACATTTATTGCAAAACATTCACGCAACAACGTACGGGGTATCATCTAGTCCATAACAAAAAAAAACTTCACTAATTATACCTCGTCACTGAAATGCCGAATCAACCAAGTATTTCATGTGTGTAAACACCAAACCACGTGCGCCCTTAGTCCCTTAGGAGTCGATGATAAGCATTAGTAAATAATTGTTGTAGAACTCAAACATAATTTGTTTTATCTTGATGCAGAAATATGCTCCATATGTTTCAAAATATACTCCTTCCGTATCATAGTGTCAAAAAACGTCTTATATTTTGATACAGAGGGAGTATGTCCTATAAAATTTGTCCAAGTCAGAGATTCTGAAGGTTGTCCAAATTTATACAGAAAAAATTACATCTATATATAAGATATCAATAAATACACCATAAAAACATATTTCATTGTATATTTTTGTATTTGGTTTGTTATTGTAGATGTAAATTTCGTATAAACTTCTTTTTATGAATTGATTTCCTATATAAACTTGGCCAAACTTGGAGAGCTTTGACTTCGGACAAAACTTGTAGGCCTTATATTTTCAGACGAAGGAAACATCACCCATTATCTAAAAAAATGTGCATGCAAGCTATCAACAATTATTTGTGTGTTAGCTAATACTATTTACCGAAAGTTGGACCTTATGTATTTTTCTATCTTTACCATACTACATAATTTAATAGGACATTCTAAAGTTGAATATGATTCACCAGAAACACACATATTATATATATATATATATGTGTGTGTGTGTGTGTGTGTGTGTGTGTGTGTGTGTGTTCCAAGTAGATTTATACATACGCCGTAATACTCGGTGGCAATATCATAATCTTGATGCTATTGCAACTAGGTGAGAGCCCATGGTAGAGTATTGGTTTAACAAAGAGTGAAGTCTCAATAGTATATATTGGTGCTTGGCTAACTACATAAGGATACAACTCTGGTGTTCAAGTTAATGTTAGTAGATCATGCATCGAACATAATTACTTCAAATATAAAATGTTAATGTTAGTAGATCAAGCATACACAAGTTTTTATATAACCAAATTGTTTAATCTTTATCAAAATTAAATACATCAAATATCATTTCCTTCAACATGGTCGAAATCACTATGTATGTATGGCCTTGCGGGTAGAATTAACATAGTATTTAGAGAATAGTGTCTTCATCCTAGCTCGCGTCAATGGTGGCCTTGCACTCTTCTGGCTTCGGAACCTGCTTCTGATCCAGCACTAGAGCTTGCACTTGAACCTGCACTTGATCCGGCACTAGAGCCTGCACTTGATCCGGCCCCGGATCCTACACTAGAGCTAGCACCTGATCCAGCGCTTGAGCTGCTTCCCGACCCAGAGCCCGAAGCCGAAGCTGAGCCTGACCCTGAACTCGAGCTAGAGCCACCGGTACCACCACCTAATCCAATACCGAGTCCTGCCCCAAGCCCAAGCCCGCCCCCTCCCGAGGTTGAGCCTGACCCAGAAGCCGATGCCGATCCAGAACCAGATCCTATGCCTGGAATTGATCCAGAACGAGAGACAGATGCCGAGCCCGACCCATAACCGGAACTAGAACCACCACCACCACCTACACCAATACCGACTCCAACACCAAGTCCAAGACCTAGACCACCTGACCCTGAGCCCGACCCCGAACCAGACCCTGAACCAGAGCCCGACCCTGATCCGGAACCGGATCCCGAGCCCGAACCCGAGCCAGAGCCGGAACCACCCGCGCCCACACCACCACCCAAGCCGATACCAACTCCAAGCCCACCAAGGCCAAGGTTGAGACCAAGGTCCTTCCGAGCAGAGCGGCCCTCACCCACCGGGACAATTGATGCACCAGCGACAACTACAACTACGAAAGCAATGGCCTTAATGCAAACCATTGTGCCCGCTGCTCTCTCTAGTCTCTATCTCAACAGTGAACCAGTGAGTAGGTGATTGTGAACTAGTGATGATCGATGCTGAGTTCGACAGACCTTCTGGGAATTTATAGGTCGACGAGAGCGTGAGGCTGTGCGCTTGTGCTACCGATCTACCGATAAAGTCCGTGGTGGCGAAGTGGCGTGGTTGAATCATCCGCGTGTATGCTCCAGATTAGCCTCCGTGCATGTGTGGCCAGGGAGCCGTGCCTTTTTCCATGAGAATCGGTGAGAATTCAACGCGGCGATCGTGCTCCCGGACGGCGTGTGTAGTGGGCGGCCGGGTTTAGTTGCTGCCGGTGAGCTATTCGACCGTTGGCGTACCACAGCTGCGGCTGCGCGACACGTCCCGGCGTCGAGAAAATCATGAGACCGTCGATGCTGATGGGCGCGTCTGGGTGCGTAGAAAAGTTGGCGCTCGTGGGCGCCGTGGCATGCATCTGCATACCGCATGCGCTCGCCAAGAAAGTGGTCAGCGCCTATTTAGCGGCGAGAAATTAGCTGTGGCTGAGTGGTGACTAGCTGAACGATGTCAACCATATATATGCGAGTGCACAGTACTGTATGCTACTACAGTAATACGTGCAGAGCGGATGTAATTGTCTGTCGACGTGAATGCTTCCTTCGAATATTCCTTTTCGCACGATCATTTTTCTTATCCACATATCTATTATCAAAATTCACAGAAAGTACAAAGCACCTCAAATATAATAAAAATTATATCAAGATTCTGAGACCACCGAACGACCACTATCGTCGTCAAAACGAGTCGCCGCTCCCTAAAGATCAACGATCATTTTTCGAGAACACCTCAAAAGGGGCAGGGGGTTCTTGCATTTCATTAAGAAGAAGAGAGTTGGTCTAGTTTATAAGAAAAACCAAACCCGAAAACCTAACATTCACGGCTAATCAGGGATAACCGAAAGAAACACACGCCGACCCTAGGGCCGCGCTCTAGCCGAGCCGCCGGCTCCGTCACCCAAGCAACCCATAGCCGACACTCAACAACCAAGACCGAAGCCGCCGCTCCGGCATCCACGCCGACCCCGAGGCCGCGCACTAGGCGAGCCGCCTAATCTGCTGCCCGAGCAACCGGAGCCGACACCCTACAACCATCTCCGGAGCCGCCGCTCCGACGTACAGACAGAAACCCCACACGCCGACCCCGAGGCCACACACCAGGCGAGCCGTCAGCTTCGTCACCCGAGCAACCGGAGCCGACACCCAACCATCATATCCGGAGCCGCCGCTCCGACATCCACGCCCACCCCGAGGCCGCGCACCAGGCTGGCCAACGACACTGCCACCCACGTGACCAATGCCGGCACCCCTCCAAGATGACGAGATCCGGAGCCGCCGCTCCGACTTCCACGCCGGCCCCGAGGCCGCGCACCACCCGAGCCGATGACTCTCCCAGGCCAAGACCACTCCAGAACGATGCCTCCACGAAGGACCGCGACACCGGAGCGCCGCCATCATCCGCTCCAAGAACTGGAGCAAGGGTTTCCCCTGGAGTGTGAGAGAAGAGGTCGAATGCCCTCGAACGACGATGCCTCCAAGAAGGTGTGCGGCGCCCATAGGCGTCGCCGCTGCCGGCTTCGGCCAAGGCCAGAGCAAGGCTTTCGCTCCGAGCAGACAAAGGAAGCCCTTCCCTCGAACCGGCACACGAGAGCCACCGCCTGCCTGAACCACCACCAACCTCCAGAGCCCGGAGCCACCAATCAGAACTGGCCACGTCTGGTCAGATCCGAAGCCCCGTGCAACAGCAACAACCAACCCTTGGCAACCGTGCGTGGCACGGCCCGATTAGAGCGGGCCGCGTGCCTGGCACGGCCCGATTAGAGCGTGCCGGGCCTGGCCCATCACGTGCCGTGCCAGCGTGCTTGCGGTTCGGCATGCCAGGCCCGACCCATTTGGCCAGCTATAAGACCAGTACTGATAACGTGGTAACCAGACCAAATTTCCAGATTTGCAATATGATTTCTGCAAGGAAAAAAAGTTCACCAAACAAATAGGAAATACTCTCTTCTTTCAAAATATAAGGTGTATTATTATTTTTTAAATCAAACTTGTATATGTTCGACCAAATTTTTAGAAAAAAAATATCAATATCTACAGATTTTTGTATCATTTGATCCATCACGAAAGGCATTTTCATATTTTATTTATTTTGTATTTTAGATATAGATATTTTATTCTATAATCTTGGTCCAACATACATTAGTCCGACTTGCATGAAAACTGATGTTGCTATGTTATGGGAACACACATGAAATATAAGTGAAAATGCTAATAAAATCCTGTGTGCGTAATTAAATTTGGAATCGAATATGCTAGATGTACCACCTGGTCATCAACATTTTGAGCAGCCCAGAGCATGATCATTTCGGAGTGCAAAGGAAAAGCTCCATCGACCATTACTGTGCGTGGGCATGCATGCACGTGTCGTAGCCAAGCGAATTCGAATCCACTATCCACACTAGTGGAGTACCACTCAGTCACTCACTAAAGACTAGCGTATCATGCGCATACGCTTATCTCACCTAAGTTGCGTCGCATGTTTCCAAATAGCAAATAGTACATCCCATTGCAAGCATCCACCGTCCGCCCACACCTCGACTGCGATACGAGTGGACAGGGGAGAGCATGAACATTTTAATTACGTCAATCTGCTAAGTCCCATTTGGATGTTTCATTGGGAACAGTTATTTAGATGAACAATTCAGTAAATCAGACGCACATCCGAGAAACGGTGATGATGGGCAGGGACAATCAGCGACGCAAGTACACTCTGCTCCTTCCTGCTGCTGCTGCGGACGGAGCCGACGAGGACGCTTCCTACCTGCACCATGGGTTTCGTGCTGTCCCGGCCTCGCAGATCGGCAGGAGACGGCCGTGGGCGAAGGTGAGTTCTCAGGGTGTGTGCAGGCTCTGAACGCGATATTTCATAGCATCTCACAGTCGGCTAAAAATCGACTTTGGAATGTCGGCCTTGTTAGAATCTGGACACGCATGATGATCTATCGATAAAGTTAGGCAATCACAAGATGACAACACTAAAATTTGTTAACGAGGTTCGGCGAGGCCCCCGCGACAATGACTACCAACCCTATCTATTTTTTTTTGAAAAGGAGGATTCCCCGGCCTCTGCATCAGAAAGATGCATACGGTCATCTTATTAACCAAACAAAGTAGTGGCAACATGGTTCCAAAGGTCTCCAAAAATAATAAAAAAGCACAGAAAGCTCACACAGAGCCAATAAAGGCTAGAAATATCAACTAGCCAAGAAAAGACGCCACAACCGCTAAAACTAGATAGGGAAACTAATTGCCTATCCTATTACATGACCGCCATCCAAATCGGTTGAAGATATCCCGAGCTACCCTCTCCCAGCGGAAAGACCCAGTAACCAAATGCTCCCTTGCCTCCGTCTGGGTGAGTAGCAACCACGAACGGATCAGGGCCGTAGTTTGGAATATGACCTGCAAAAAATGTATACATGATATTCTGTTAAAAACCAAGTCATTTCTGCAAGTCCAGATAGTCCACAGCAAAACACAAGCTTCATATTTCTCGCCTTGGCCAAGTCATGCTCCATAAAGATGATTGTATCATCAGCGTACTGAAGGATGGATACACCTTCATCAATAAGATGAGGTACCAATCCACCTACTTGACCATTTTCCTTAGCCCTTCCTATCAAAATTGCTAACATATCCACCACAATGTTAAACAGTATAGGGGACATCGGATCTCCTTGTCTTAGGCCTTTATGTGTCTGGAAGTAATGACCTATGCCATCATTAACTTTAATTCCCACAATACCTTTTTGCGTAAATGATTCAACCTGTCGGCGCCAGACTTCATCAACCTTTCATACGCAATGACTGTTGGAGGAATGGCCATTTGACCTTATCGTATGCTTTCTCGAAATCCACCTTAAAAATTACTCCATCTAATTTTTTGGAATGGATTTCATGGAGTGTTTCATGCAGGACGACCACCCCTTTAAGGATATTTCTGTCCGGCATGAAAGCAGTTTGGGACTGTTGCACCACAGAATGCGCAATCTGTGTGAGCCTGTTAGTCCCGACCTTGGTGAAAATTTTGAAACTAACATTGAGAAGACAGATCGGCCTGAATTGCTCAATTCTCACAGCATCCGTTTTCTTGGGAAGCAGTGTGATAGTCCCAAAATTCAAGTGAAATAATTAAAGCTGTCCAGAGAACAGATCATGGAACATAGGTAGTAAATCCCCCTTAATAATGTGCCAACACTTTTTATAGAACTCTGCCGGGAATCCATCCGGTCCGGGAGTCTTATTGTTTTTCATCTGTGCAATAGCATCAAACACCTCCTTCTCCGAGAACGGGGCGACCAGAATATCATTATCGTCAGCCGATAGCTAGGGCACATCCTCAGTCCTGGACTCATCGAGGGACACACAATTATTTTCCGGAGGTCCAAATAACTACTTATAATAGTCGATAATATATGTTTTTAGGTTATCCTGACCTAAAATAGTATCCTTGTCTTGCTCAAACTGAAAGATACGTTTCTTTCTATGCTTGCCATTAGCTATCAAATGAAAGAATTGAGTATTCGCGTCCACCAACCCTACCCATGGATATTGCAACACCAGTCGTCCGTACGCAAGCAACTTCCGCGTGCCTGTTGGCTGTTATTGTAATTCATGGATACAAAATCAGCCTGGGAAGAACAACAATTAATTCTACGTTGTGCGCAGGAGCGATGACATGGTTTTCGTGACATATCATCTCTTGCTAGCAGTGGAAAAGCTAACGGCATACTACAGTTCTCGATGCTCGGCATGCCGCGTCACATCACATGCATGGATGCAAACACTCCCCCACACTAACCCTCATCAGGGCACGTAGAGTACGTACCTTTGCCGCAGCACTACCACCGCTTGCCCAGTCGATCGCGTCCGCACGCCCACTG